TTTGCTAAAGTTGATGCAGCGTTCATATTATCGTTCCGGGTTTTCATTTTGACAGTTGTTTTTGTTATCTTTTGTTTACATTTGTTTACATTTTGATACTTGTGAATATTGTGTTAGAAGTTGAAATATGCTTAAAGATATTGTTAACTTTATCAATTATAATTTAAATTATCATTAAATTACATTATAATAATAATTGAATTATCATTACACGTTTTGAAAAAGTGTAATGAAAACCGCTGAAAATTCTGTGTTGCCGAAGAGGACAGAATTCTGTGTAGAAAAATTGGAATATTAATATCATAGAAAATTGGATAATATTAATTGTAGAATAGGATATTTCTTAGTAAGTTCAGTTAAATTTTTTTTTCGGCAGAATACCAAATAATTTATATTTAAATATATTAGCATTTAAAATTTACTGCAATTCAGTTTTAATTTATTTATTAATAAATAATATTTATTTTTTTACAATTAGCTGGAATGCAAACAACGCTCAAGCTACATTACCTAGTATACCAATCATTGATACTGATGTGGAAATGCCAAATAGTTCAATTGCTAGCACTCTTCTAGGCAACATAATTAATACATCACCGTCAGCCATAAACAATCATAATAATTCAGTGCAAGATAATCAATATCAGTTTGGACAAACTAAAAAACAAAAGAAATCTTTACAAAACAATGCAAATCGAAATATTAACAATCAAAGGCACCAGCATCAACAACAGCACCAACAGCCACACCAACAACAACATCAACAACAACATCAACAACAATACCACCAACCACCACATCAACAGCAACAGCAGCAGCACCAGCACCAGCACCAATATCAACAGCAACAATTGTTACAACAACAAACACAACAGGACCAACAACAAACATGGCTACAGCAAACGAAGCAACAAAAGTTACGACCAAATTTACAAGAACAACAAAACTTTTTCCAAAACCAACAACAGTTGCATCAAGATATGAGTCAAGTGTCAAATGGCAATGCATATAAAAATCATATTGGTATCAATGGTGGTAATCACTACAGTAACAATTCACCACGTGACCTAGGTGTTCCAGAATCATCGGTTAGTCCGCCGGTTTTAATAAGACATAAACTAAAAATTATGATGATTATTTGTTAATAGAAAGTTTTGTTCTTCTCCTTTTTTCAGGAAATTGGTGAGATGACTTCATCAGAGTCTTCTAATTCTAGTGATAGTGATAGTGAAAGCGAAAGTGATAGTAACTCAAGTTCCGGTAATTCGGACAATGAACCAGAACAACACCAGAAACAAAAACATCAGCATCAACATAAACAACAACAACTACAACCACAATTAATGCATCAACAACAATATTATCAACAGCAACATCATCATCAACAACAACAGCATCAACAACAGCAACATCAACAACAACAACAACAACAAAACCTTGCAAAATCAGACTGGTCAAATAATTTTTTGGAAAGAGACTTGCAGTTGTCATCTAATTCATCCGATGATGATGAATGAATTACTTAAATTATATATAAACTTAAGAAAATTTCTATATATTTGTTGTCAAATTATTAAGCGGTACTTACAACTTGTTAATATTTGGTTATTATGTTAAAAAGCGCTAAAACTATTAAACAAAAAGTACTGAAAATCATTATATATTAATATTTAACTAAAATTTTAAATTTTTTCTGAGTACTACTGTTGAATTTATTTAACAATTTGTTATGGATTTAGTTTTTATTATTTATTTAAAAATCAATTTAAGTGTTAAGAAAGAAAAAAATTTATTATCTTGAACTATTGAATTATTGATATTGTTAGAGCTTTTCATAACTATTTTAATTATGTATTTATTTTCCTTGGTTTTTAATTAGAGATATACCTAAAAAATTTCCTTCAATATTTTTAAATTTAAAAATTTAATTAATATAGTCTAACATTATGAAAATTCAAATTATGAAATATTCTAAAGAAATGTAAATCAAATTATGAAATATTCTAAAGAACTCAAAGTATAATAACTAATTAAGAACTGGAAATAATTTGCCAATTTTGTAATTAATTTTAAAATATTAAACAAAATAGTAATATAGTTATATAAATAAATATAATATTTTTAATACACAAAACAAACATGCGACCACATTTACAATAACATATTAATATAAAAAAGATTATATATATAAAATTTGTAAACTTGAGAGAGAATTAAAAGTAACTGCAACAAAAAAAATTAAACTTAAATTTACAAAAGTTAAATTAGTTGTTAACAAAACTTGTTAATTAATATAAATAAATAAAATGTAATATAATGTATAAATTGTTTATTTTTTATATAAGATAATATAATTATAACCAATAACCAATTAAGCAAATGCATTGTAACTAAGCCTCATACAAAAATTAAGTAAAGAAATATATACATATATATATATATACATACATAATTTTGGAATTGAAATTGATTTATCTATTTATACATAAATATATAATACAGCTTACATCGAAAACTGATTAAAAATAAATATAAAATCAAAAATATATTACAACTACCATTTTTCATATTCGTCGCTTAAACAAAATATCAAAACTTTCAGTTCCAAAAGTATATGTTATAAAATAAAAACACCAAATAAAACAAATCAAATTTACTTTAAAATGAATGAAAAATATACATACTTATACATAAATTTAAAATGCGCCACGCACTTAAATGCATCCGTACTATAACAATCACAATCAGTTGTTATTTTAAATAAGTTAATTTTAATTATGAAAATTTTGCCAAGTTATTATGTGAATTTTTTGGCGCTTTGATTGCGGTGCAGCAATAAATCATGCAGCCTATAATGAGTTAAAAGCTGATATATAGTCGATAATTCCTAAAAATTAAACGAGTTTTCGTAAACAGTAACCTAGAAAGGTATACGAACATAATTCTACCTTTCTGTTAACAATATATTTTGCCTATACTGGACCAATTTTAAAGTACAAAGTTTGATTGAATATTGCCTTGGACTATTTTAGTTTAATGCTGCACCATCATCTATCTTACTCACAGTTACTTATTAAATGTATACGTACAAATTGTAAACATTTAAAACAAATTATTTAATTTCTTTATGTGTTTTATTCATTTATTTGCATTTTTTTATTGCAACATTTTTTGTGCTTCATTTTAATTCTAGTAAAATTTGACTAAGCCGCTAAAAGCCTAAAAACATTTAAGTACTTTGCCATAATTCGCTTTGAAAAAATTTATGTTTATTTTTCAATATATATATATATATATAAATTACAATTTCAAAACTAAATTAATATAGTCATAACTTTAAGATTATTTATATAAATTATCATTTGTATAAAGCACTATTAAAGCAAAACAAACAAACAAACCAAGAATTAATACCTTGAAATGGTTAAACATTTGGCCTCTTTCAAATACTGTTTTATATCTGTGAATATCCATGTATACTTTAAAAACTAACTTTTACAATAGGAAGAAGATATAATTTTACACTACAATTATAAATAATTTTCGTTTACACTTGTTTAGTATACACAAATATATTTAAAAAGCAGTCCATTAATAATTAAAAGAAATAATACTAAATGACTAAATGAATGTAAAAGAAGTATTTGAATTCTTTTTGTAGAGAAATGTCTAGTATTTAGCAAACATTAAAGAATAAATAACCAATAATAGTTTTCCCTTGAGTGTGGCTAAGATTTGATCCAACCAAATCCAGCCACCGGTGGTGAATGTTTTTCCTTAAGACTTAATTAATTTATATTTAAATTTAAGGAAGTTAATATCCATCCAATCGTAACCTAAAATTATATTAATTCCATCCATAAATTTAAAATCCAAGAAATTAACGTCCAAATCGTAACATTGAATACGTCTGCAGTAAACGTTAATATGAAATATATACAAGTCCCACAACTTCCAAATAAAAATTTTAATTTCAATTTGTTAATTAAATTTTTGAATAAATAATCTTTTACAACTACAACATAATGAATAGCAACAGAATCATACAAGCCTCTTATATAAAAAAAACATATTTCAAACTATTTCAAGGTATAATTCAAAATAATTAATTTAATCAAAAAAAAAAAAAAAACAAAAAAAGTTATTGAAGAAATTTTAAACTATTTTAATTTAATTTGTTTTTAGAAAATTTAACTTTTAAGTTAATTAGACAAAAAATAATAGAGAAAATTTACTCTCATTTATTTCTCTTTCTATTGTAAATTATTTTTATATAATTTATTAACATAACAAATGTGTACATAACCAATTAAACAAATTATATATACGAGTATATATAAGCATTATATTATGAATTGATATTTAAAATGATTTTGAAAAATGATTTCATAAGATTTTGTTCATTTTGTTTATATAGTTTTATGATATGTGAAACAAATGATGAAATAAATATTGCCCTTAAAGAAAATGCCTTTAAATGTAATTAAAATTATTATATACATATATACTAAAGTAGAAAACTACAATTAATAAGAAAACAAAACTCATTAAATTATATTAAAAATATCAGACTTATTAAATAAAATGAAATATTTGCATACAAAATGAAACTCCTACTTTTAATTTATTAAATTGAAGTTACAAATTATATTGCATTTATTAATACGGATAGTCAAGCTGCTTTAAAGTCCTTGTGCTCAGTCCAATTTACATATAGGAAACCACTCGGAACAACATTGTTCGAGTGCCTCGGAGGCACTTTCATAGTCCTCACCACAACTGCAGCAAATATGGTTGAAAGGGAGATTTAGTCTCTTAGCATTGTTACCTATGATCTGTTAGTCATACAATGATCTGTTTGTAAACCTACTGCAAGACTGATATCTCTACGAGGTATCTCTATGAGAGAGTTTGATTTTCTCTTATTGGTGTGTGGCCAAAATGCATAAAGATACCTGCACATCGAAAGGTCTTCCCATCTTTTATTAAAAAGTTCGCCACAGGAAGAATTCAATACCACTCAGAAGAACAGTTGATGCGTAGTTATTAGGTAATTATAACTATATATAATATATGTGGAGCTCAGTTAATACGTTAAGTGTAATGATCCAGAAGCTATGCACTTATAGAACCCATATACGAACGTCAGCAACTAATGCTAACGTTAGTTAGCCCTAGAAATTGAAATAGTCGATTAATTAAAACTTAAACTTTTAAATGTTAACTACTGTGAAGAATTCTATTCCCCTTAAGGATAAATCACTATCAGTACGACAACGATAACGTATGCATATCCGCATATGCATATCACACATTTCAAACATGTGAATAGGGCTGTCCTGAGAAGTTCGGTACTCGTAACTTACTAAAATGAATGCAATATATAAAACATATATATATTGGCTAATTCACATTAAACTATAAAGTTCATACAAGTCAAACGCACTCAAATCCTTTCGCTTCGAGGCAATTCCACATTTTGCACTGTGATTGCTCAGGACCCTGAATAATATTTAACTTGTGAAAAATTTTGAACAAAGTAGGATTTGATATTTACGACGGCTTGTCTGATATACAATATTTGATTTATTTTGATTAAAATATATTTTTCGGATATATATATTTTTTCTGTATTTTTGATTATTTAGTTTTTTTTGCAATATAAGATTTGGCAAAATGGATAGGATTCCTTTACCAAATTTGTTTTATGATTTGTCTCGGAACTCTGAATTAGTTAATAATTCTCCAGGTAGTCTAACAATAAGTTTATTTCATATTTAAGTCTATTTTTATTTTTATTTTTATTTTTATTTGATAGAAATGGCTTCTTTTGACGTGCTACTGCCAACAACACAATGTTTAATGAAGCAGATGACTCCATCTGAGTGCAGAGTTTTCCAGCAGTCTATGAGTGACTTATTGGAAAAGCGCTTAAAATCGTTATTACATAAAAGTACTGAAAATGAATTTGATTTTATGTCAGAAGAGCAAACCGAACAAAATAAAACTGTAGAACCAAAGAAAACAAAAAAACGTGTACGTTTTGCAAAAGATACCAAACCCGGTAGTGGGGTATCAGATGATGCTCAGAGCACTACGGACAGTGAGACAGTTCTTGAACCTCCTAAGCGTAAATTTTTTTATCCTCGTCTAATACCAGTATTAAAAGAACCAAAGCCGCAAATATGGAATATTACTAATAATTTTGATGAAGAAATAATGATTACAGATAATATCACTGAAAATAAAAGTTTTTTTAGAAGTACTAATGCTGCATCAGTTAATAAAAATGCTCTAAACAAGGTTCAATATTCAAGTAAGTTTTAAAGAGATTTTTTCAAAGATATTTTAAAGGAAATTTAATTGGTTGAAGCTTTTCCAGGTAGCTTTACTGCAAACAGACCAATGAAAAAGGTTAACTATAGCTTAGGTTGGTTCGGCGCAATATCCGAAATTAGCATCACTCAGGGTCAGTGTACGTTCAAAGTACTTGTTACGGAAAATGAAAAGATGATGAGTGGAAATGCAATAGGAATGTTTTTAAATGAAATGCCAAGTATAAATGGATTTCGTATTGGTTTCTCTCTTGCTAGTACCGAACGTTTGCTTGGCGAAACGAATACTTCGTTTGCATATTGTGAATCTGGACGTTTGGCTAATAACTCTAAATATAGTGAATATGGAAAACCTTTTGGTATTAATGATGTGATCGAGTGTACTTTAGATATGAATGTTAATCCATGTACCATAAAATTTGTACTTAACGGTTTTAATCTGGGCGAGGCTTTTGCTTTTGTTAAAAATGAAGTTATATGCGAATATGGATTAGTGGCACATATTGTCTCTAGAAGTTATGAATTTCATGTTGTCTTCGATGATGATGAAGAAAGATGCGAATGTACTAAAGAAGTTTCCTCAAAAAAAGCTAAATTAAATAATAAATCTAATAATATATCACCTAGTAATAATCAAAAGAGATTTTCTATTGGAAAAAATGATGAAAAAAGTAAAAATAAATTGTATTGAAAAAATTATGGTGAAAAATTGTACTATCAAACGGAAAAAATATCTCAAAAATAATCACGATTTTAGTATATTTAATGAGAACAAAATTCTGTGAAATAACAAAATTATATATAAACAAAATTATGAAAAATAACATAAGCTTAATATTAGTATATCATAAATGAATAAAATTAAGTAAAAACTCTTATTATTATTTGTTGATACTGAAAGTAAATGTATTAAAAACACATTATTATATTATAAACACTCCTAATAATTATATACATTTTTTGCATTTTCTGAAAATTGACAAATTTGAAGTTGCGCCTCTTTTGAAAAGAGTGTAAGAGATATAAGTGCCAGCCCTGTGTTTAGTCTTATAACTAAAATTTTCAATTTTCTGTCTCATTTTTACAACGTTCCTCAAAACTTGCTACAGAGTTGTTAATCGTACAAATGAGACTTCCAGTTATTTTGCTGTCAAATTTTTGGAAATATAATAATAACTTGGCCGGCGTAAATAAAATATCACCGTATCACTCCACTAATTTTTTAATATTCCGAAAAGTTTCTAGTGCTTCCGGAATGGCTGAAGTTCACGGTTTAACAAATTCTGAAGTGGATGCATTATGCAAACCTGCAGATGCTTCAACGAAGGTACAATAATTCCACTTTCCACTTGAAGAATGATTGCAAACACGTTTAAAATATGTCGAATTTTTAGGATTTCCTCTTTCAGCAAACCATGTATAGAATAAAGGATCCACGTAAATCTTTACCTTTTTATACTGGCGTTTTGGGTATGACTTTATTGCAAAAATTAGATTTTCCAGAAGCAAAATTCTCGCTTTACTTTATGGGGTGAGTCTAACTTTTTTAAATATGGCAATCTTATCTGCCATCACTTCAATGTGTTTGCATGCAACAAGTTGTTGCTTTGCTTTTGGACATACAAAGATAATCGTACGCTCCATATTTTGAAGTGGGCAAATATGCTCGTCCAAATATAAGTAAATCTATTAACGTTAGCAGTGATTTATTAATCTGTAATTGTATACCCACACATATTCTTAAAATATATGAAGTGCATATATCTATGTATATTAAAGTACATATGTATATGGTAAAATTATTTCAGTTCTATTTATTTTGAAATTGTTTAACCTACTATTATATTAAAATATTTGCAGTTATGAAAATCCTGCTGACATACCGAAGGATAATGATGAACGCAAACGTTGGGCTATGAGTCGGAAAGCGACTGTTGAGTTGACACAGTAAGTATGAAAAGTATATCAAAAGCATTACATATAATGTGCAGCTTATATAATTAAAAATTTACCGACAATGAGCAATAATTTTATGTTTTTATATATAAAAACTATATACAAACTTTATATCTCATGTATAAAAATTTAAATTTGGACATATGTATACTTTGTTCACTGAAAGGTTCCTAAAATTAACACTTTGATTTAAAAATAATAATAAATAAAATGAAAATTAATACGGTCTAATGATTCTTGAATACACACTTCCCGTTTTTCTAACCATTTTAATATTTTTATTAAGTATTATCAGTTAAATAACTTCAAAAATTGAGTTAACTTTTTATATAATTAAGTATGTATCTCATAAAACAATATTTGATCACTTTTAATTTATATATCAATGCTTTTTCACTACAGCAACTGGGGTACTGAAAACGATCCCGATCAAAGCTATCATACTGGCAATTCAGATCCCCGTGGATTTGGTCACATTGGCATCATGGTACCGGATGTATATGCTGCTTGCAAACGGTAAATAAAATTAATATTAATAAATATTTTTTATATTATTTAAGTAATCGATCATATTTTTGTTCAAGTTTCGAAGAACAAGGGGTTGATTTCATTAAGAAACCTAATGAAGGACGTATGCATGGCTTAGCCTTTATTAAAGACCCTGATGGATATTGGATTGAGATTTTCAACGCAAATAATGTGTGTTAACCAATAGGAATGTAAACTTATTTTGTGGGAACACGTATTGTCGAAACTATCATATTGTTCTGAAAATATCTTATAATTAGTAGCTGCATGTGCATTGATTATAGTAGTATGAATCTAATCAAAACTTTGGAAAAGCTTTAATAATTCTGAATTTAATTTTTAACAAAAATTTTATAAAATTATTTTATTAACTTTGTTATATAATATAAATGTATTTTGTAAACTATTATTTTTTGTTCACATTTATTTCTTTACAAACAAAAATTAAATTTTGTGCCATGAATTCAAATCACAGTGTCTATCCTTGTTTCAGCAATATGTGAAGTGCAAGAAAAAAGTTTTATTGAATTATAATATATATTTATGATATGTTGTTTATTATACATATGATATAAAAAATGACAGATTACTTAAAATCATTTTAATCTACTCATATAAGCTAATTGTTAATCGAAGTCTTTTTTCTAAAGCAGCTGAAGCTCTACTCTATGAAAAAATGTATATTCTTTGATTGGTATATTTAAATTGTTTAGGAAGTCGTATCAAGTCGATTTAAATATGTTTGAGTACTTTTTTGTATATTGATAGAGCCAACCACTGCAATCGAGGGTGAAAAGATTTGAGAACGATAAAATATTTGAGATTAATGAGTAAGCAGCATATAATACAATTCCCAATGTATGTTTTACATTGTTCTACATCTACAACCAATATCTAAGTATTTATAAATCCATTCATGTTATCTGCAAGTTAAATTTTTATCAACCACATCATTAAACTATGTTCTAGAGAAAAAATAACGAAATGAAATTGAGGATCAAACAAGCTAGACAAAAGTCAGAAATATCCTCAGCAGTGAAAAAAATACTGATCTCATTAAAAGCTGATCAAAAATGTATGCATAATAATTTCCTAATATAATAATCCTAAATAATAATAGCAAAACTACATGAGACAACGATGGGCTGCAAAAAATTCAAACAAATTTCTCCAAGCTAAAAATTTCTATAGTTCTGGTGACGTATCCAGAGGGGTAAGGAATTAGATCACCACCTCGTTTAACATTATAACTCATAAAACACAAATTTAATATATCACAAATAAACTGCAAAAAAAAATTATTCTCTAGTATATTTGCCCCATGGCACAATCCTGGCTACGTCACTGCAGTTGAGAGATATTGAAAAAAATACTCCAATACCATAAAAAGTTATTTAAAATAATTTATAAATTTATAATTCTTTCTTCTGTTGTGTTTATCATTTGATTATTATAATTTATATGAATTAATCTCAATTCCGTATGTGTGTATTATTCTTCTTTGTGTCTGTGATTTAATATTTGTCAGCAAGCTACTGAACAAAGCAATTAATCAATTATGCAGCGCTCAAAAGTATGCTACAAAAAATGCCTGTCCGCTTTAATTAAAAGATATAAATTTATATTTATTTTTGCCATCAGTGTGCGGGTCTGCAATGCAAATATGGTTTTATCGTTTCCACTCGATTGTATGGACAAGCGGGCATCTAAGGCTAAATCGTTAGATAATTGGCCGGCGAACTATTTGCAGTTTAACTGATTTGTCGCAAATTAATTATTATTTACATGAACGAAGTGGTTCAAAATAGTAAACAAACAACAAAATTTTTAATTTCATGTGAACACAGAAATGGGCAAATTGTTAAGAAGTTTAAAATGTTACTGATACATAATATATTGTTCTATAATACCCGATAATACTCCGATTATATGCATGACCATATGACAAGTAGATACTTAGACAAGAGAGAATTTTTGTGTTAGAGAAATGTACTTAAGGCCCTAGGTCTTCAGGTTGTAAGAGGCGTTCACATAGGCCACTTCTGTAAACTCCATTTCAAACAGACTTACTCACCCTTCGTATGCTGAACTTGAAAGGATTTCTACAGGTCTATTAATGAAAGGTGCAATTCATATTAGTCAGTTAGTTTAACGCGTTACTTTCACGAAATACGTCGCTTGTAGCGTCCGAGCGCATAAGAGCTACATAACTTTAAGGTTTTAAGTTTAAAATGGAAATTTCCGAACCAACAGTGGGCATATTTTATATAAGCAAAATGCTGACATTGGCACCATTTGCAATACGTAAAGGGGCTAATGGCGGTTATGAGATACGACGGAGCGTCTTGTTTACAGTTTACTCGGCCTCGTTGATTTTTATTTTGGGTCTGTGTCAGTTTATTTATGAAAACTCAAGCATATTTCATAAATAGTCTATATAGTTCTTTGTAAGACTCTAATTATAATGAATTAGAATCTTAAAGGTTCTTGTTAAGAAGAGTCCTCAGTTTTTAATAAAATATAACCAAGATTGTTAAATTATGTGCTAAAAACTATATGAATTGAACTTGAAGAGAAAAATCATTAATTTTTAAAATAATCTAATTAAATTGTTTAAATTATTTACTTAAAACTGAATGAACTTGACTTTAAATGACTTTAAAACCTGTGTGTTGAATAAATTAAAATTAATTAGGAAATGGAAAATGGATCTCTAAATTTACATTATTGTAATAATCTCGATTGAACATACAAAACATTGTTGGATGTATTCTAATATTGAATAATATGTCTAGAGGTTCTAAGTCTAATTTGGTTGAACTTTTATAAGAACTATATAGAAATTTACATATTAAATTAATTTAGTTGTAAATGACAAAGATTCTCATTTTTCAATTTAATTCAGTTTAGTTATTAAATAATTTTTTTTTTGTTTAGTTTTTCTAACATATCGTGGATTATTATTCGATGCAAATTCCAAAATTCCCGTACGGTAAGTACCGAAATTGTTCGCTTAGCGGGTCATTGCATAGTGTCTGAATGCATTTGATTCTTATTTAATAACTTGTTTGTTACTTTCTCTTTCTTAACTTAACAGTCCTTTAAGGACCAAAGCTTATATAACAAATGCTCTATATCCCCTAAATGCTCTACATATATTTACAAGTGTTCTACTGGTACTGGAGCTGGTGATTATGCTGCGCTCCGCAAGAAACATCGTTCAGTAACACCATTACATATATATTTTGAAATAGTCTTCTCTCATATACCCTTAACTAACCAGATATTTTCCTTGCCATATACCTATAAGTACTGCGTGAATCATAGACTTATATATACAAATTATATAATTTCCGGACTTGGAATGCTTCATATGCTTAAAAGGGGGTTTTGTTCGCAACTTAAACTCTATGATATACACCTGTGACTATAACCCCATTGATAATTAATAATTCCATTCCCAAGTATGCAAATTTTAGTGCATTTTGAGATTATTATATAGGTACTTTTTCAATACTTACAATATGTTCAATTTATAAATGAGCAGCTAATTTGGATTTCATGCCAAATACTCTTAGAAAATAATGTAGAACTTAGCTGGTTTATGCGATTTGTTGCCAGAAATGCTCCTGTTCCATGCGCCCTTCTCAGACTCTCAGACTCGTACATTAAATGCAGTCAACAAATACTTCATCAGAATTATTTTATTCGTCTTCACCTCCTGTCATAAGGAGTGGATGTTGTTGACTCTAATACGCTGAACATAAATCTCTCTGACTGGATGCCGTTGGATTTTAATTCACCGGATAATGCAAACTTCGTGTTAAAGCCCATACAGTGCTCATCCGGAAGCAATAGTCATGTCTAAGTCGTAGTAGCCCAGAGATTTTACGTCTAAATTAGTACTTCTTTTAGTTCTCGTCAATTAGTTGTTATGCTGAATAGAACATCTAATTTCTTGAGTTCTACTAGAGAATTAATTTTTAAAAACCCCAACAAAATACCAGTCTATAGACTTCCATCTATTGCTCGTTAAAACTTTCTCATAGCTTAACTTCTCTTTTATACTAAATTTAAATACTTTCAATTTCTTTTTCTAACTCTTGTATTACATATAAATTTCCTTCTATACTGCACTGAACAAAATTTATTGAATTATCTGCTGCATCCGAAAATATAAAGCGCATCTTTTAGGATGAAATCGGCAACCTCCAAGGTTGTAACTGCATTAGATGTCTCAGTGGTAGTTTTAGCAACGAGTGCAGGATCACTTTGTGGCTTATTCGGTTTCAAAGCCACACGGGAACTGAACATCCGTTTGAGAAAGGTGACTATATCTCTAATTAAGGAGTTAGTAATTAAATTGAGTTAGTAATATATAAAGATAAATATGGTATATGTAGGTTGATGAAACACTACACTCATCGTTGCATTTTAAAAGAGATCGTATACGTGCCATAGCCATGATTGTGCTACCACTCGGAACTATTTGTAGCTTGTTAGGTAAGTGATACAGATGTGCTTTGAATCCACTATATATATTATATTACATTGTGATTATAGCATTGGATATTGGAACTTGGCTGAGATTTGCAAGCAAATCGAAAAGCGTCTCAGTGAACACAGGTGCGTTAGAGAATAGTGCTTCAAAAAGCACTATTTCCTTTTTAAAAGAATATTAAAAATACTAAAGTGTATTTATACTTGTAGAAACGAATATCCACT